CAAAGTATATGTGAGCTGCTGTATGGAAAGTGAATTTGCTCTGTAAATCTTCACCCAAATCCTAAAAAAAAAAAAAAAAAAATCAAGTTTCAGAGCAATGTATGTAGTATACTTCTATTTGGTTGAAAAATGAAGCAACTGTGTATATAACCACTTATATGTGCATAAATGATCTCTGGAAAGATATACAAGAAAACTTAATAGTGACCTTTTACAGGGGACCTAAAGCCGGGGAGCAGATAGAAAAGGGAGATTTATTGTTATATCCTCTTCCATTATACCTCTTGAATGTTTGTACCATGTATAAGTACTACCTATTTGAAAAAATAGCGACAAATAGTGCTTCAGATTCCTGAACCATGACTCTTCCTCTTGCTGCAACAGGTCTTGCTCCTGGTCAGATCCACCATTTCTTACTCTTTCCATCTACCATCCTGGTTCTCCATTTGCCTTCTGGAAATGATGTTTGGTAACTAGTAAAGAAGATAAAGGAAAGAGAAATCCCTACCTAGCCAGTACCATGCTGGTGCCCTGCTTCTGTCTAGTTTCTTCCCCCAGCCTCAGTTTTTCAAGTTTCATTCCAAACATCTCATAACTGCTAAGTACCTCATCCCATATTTAACCTGTTACCTCTTCCAAAAGCCCCCATTTTTGACTTCTCAGCTTTTCAGACCTTATAATAAATTTGTCATTTCTTCCTTCATCCCACCTCAGGTCCTCATTCTTCATCTTCCTCAGCTTCTATCCTGTTCCTTATCCACTCTGGCTCCCCTTTGCTCCAATTGTCTTGTCTTTATCTTTCTTCTTACCCTGTCCCATCTTACATCCCTGACCCAGACAGGTTATCAGAACTACCATCAAGAATGTAGAGCTGAGAAAATTGTCATATTTGGGGAGGGGGACAATTGGGAAGAAGAGTCTTCTATTTCTGCAGCCATAGGGACAGGTAATTTGGGTATTTCAAGTTTGAACTCTGAATCTGTTGTCCTATAAAGACGTTATTAGGAATGATTGCTAAGAGTCATATTTCGCCATCTGTTACAGGCTAGGTAGGCTCCTGTGTTCAAGTCTAGGGAAAAAACACTCTCTCATGCTATGGTAATTTGTAGAAGCATCCTAATCAGGAGAGGAATCCATGGTTTGTCCAAAAGTAGTTTTTATTAGTCTGTGACATGGGCCAACCCATCAGTGTTCACCTACTCTTTATTGGCATGGTGAGTACTGATTTGACTTTTGACTTTAGGTGGTATGTAGTCCCTTTTGTGTTGTAATTGCTGGAGTTGCAGTATAGAAGGACAGCCAAACACATCATAAGTTTGACTGTGGGAATAATGGCTTTTCCTGTTAGTGATTTTTTTTTTTTTTTTGGTGACTATGTATTCCTTTTCATTTAAGTGTTGACTTTCTCCACTTATTTTCCAATCCCATTTTAACAGAGGCGGACATCCAACCATGGTCATGCCAGGAAACGAGCCAAGGTGAGATTCCCTTCCACTATTGCTTCTTTACTAGTGTAAACTAGTAATACTTTTCACAAATCGACTTAGCACAAGTATTTAGTTTATTCAGACCATATATAGGCAGTGTTCTTGCCTGCACTTTGTATCTTAATGATGCTCATGCGTTTATGGACATAACACATTTCCTATTGGTCTGGTTTTATTTTTCTGTAATATTTCTAGTTCAGGCATCATCAGTTTCTAATTCTTGGAAGGACACCCATCTGAAGCCTCCCAGCAGAGCCTGAGTGAATTGGTACTAATTATGTGGAAATGCCAGTTTCTCTGCTCAACCCTGGCTTCTCCAGGAAGATGGCTGCCATATGAGTCCTTTTTTTTTTTTTTTTGGCCAAATGAATTTTCCTTTAAGATAAATCCTGCCCCATTAGTAGAAATGACTCAACATTTTTATATATTCTAAAAATACAGGCATTTTTCAGTGTTTCACTTTTTAGGTTAGAGCAGGGAGGAGGATTTTGTTTTTAATCATTGTATGATAAAATTAGTACAGCACATATTATTTTAAGCAGAGTTATCAGGGAAAACTATATGCGTTAGTGTGTGATAGCTTTTTAATTAGCTAAGGAACAGTAAAATATAAAACTTTTCTTGGCACTGTAAAGAATTGTCAGCAGAAATAATAATTAAGAGTACCTACCCCTCCTCGGAAGGAAGATGGGGCGATCTACTTCTATAGTGCTACTGCCTCGGAAATCCAAGGAGGGGTCGCTATGAGTCAAGTCCAACTCGACGACACATAGCAACAACAACAACAACCCCTCCCACCAGAAAATAATGGCAAAATTTGAAGTGACTGAGCCAGTATGTGGCCTGGGTTTGAAGAAGACCAAGAAGTATGATAAACGGGTTCTGTCCTGTCCTACATGACCTAATCCACGGTGATGGACATAATGTTGAAGTCCAAACCAAGGGTACTGCTCCCTGCTACTTGGGTTCCTCCCTAGCTTTTTGAGATAAATAAGACAGTTACTGTCTTCAATTTACATTGGAGGAAACTTGGGCTTATTTATAGAGATTCAGTGACTTGACAAAGGACATTGAGTAGTGAAGTGGCAGAACTAGGCTTGAAGTCAATTCTTCAGACTTGCCTATTGTTACCACCATATAGCATTACTTGGAGTATACAGACCATATTTTGTGCCTTTGTATTAATTATAAATCTTGGTTTTAGTGTAAGAACCCTTAATAAATGTAAATAGATGTATTTCTAATTAATCATTCTATAATTCTATAATTTTTGGTTTCCTAGTAGAGCAGTGATTTGCACAGTGGATTTCCGATCTTTTTTTGGAATTCTCTAGCCCGCTGAGTAAACCAGGCGGATCAGCCTTATAAAGCATTAATAATGCTATAAAGCATTAAATCTGCGGTGTTACAAAGTTTTCTTTATCACTCTCTTTATTCTTTTCTTAGACACTTCTTTCCATATCCTTGCCATTTCAGGTTTAGAATCATTTAACATTTATTGTCTACTGTATTAGAAACCTTGTGGCAGCTCCACTCTGTCCTATATAGGGTTGCCTTAAGTCAGAATCTACTTGATGGCAGTGGATTTGGTTTTGGTTTTGGTATGCCAAGGACTCCCTATGATATGTATATTTATGTTCTTTATATCATCTAGTTCTCACAACAAACCTTTAGATATTTGTAATCCCAGTTTTACTAAGGAAAGAACAGAGACCCAGAGAGGTCAAGTAATTTTTTGAGTCTTCTAGCTCCTAAGTACAAAACCAGTAGTTGAAGCTAGGCTTTCTGACTCTCAAATCCTGTCTTCCTATTATTCATACTGCTGTGTACTCACGGTAAATTTCTGAGTCTGAAATTGAAGCATTGGCCTAGAAACAGAGGCTAAGTGAGGTGATTTTCCTGCCACCTCCAAAATAGCCATTTAGTTTTTACATGTCTACTGTTGAGAGCAAAAGAATCTTTGAAGTGAATCAGGAGCTGATGAGTAGGACCTATTTGAAAAAAAATGCTATTTAATAGAAACGGCAGCAGAGCCAAGTAAGATGCTAATCATTCAGCCAGAAGCTTACTGAGTACCCACCAAGAGAATATTTATGTATATTTGGTTTTTCCAGTCTAATTCCAAGCTGAAGTTGGTGCGCAGCCTGGCAGTGTGTGAGGAGTCCTCCGCCCCATTTACCGATGGGCCACTAGAAACCCAGGTAGGTCCTTTACAGGAGTAAGTGTGATTTTTGAGCTTGGCAGTTATGGGGAGCTCTGGTAGCATAGTGCCTAAGGCTCTTGACTGCTAACCAGAAGGCTGGTGGTTCAAACCCACTGGCCACTCCTTGGAAGGAAGGTTGGGCAATCTACTTCTGTAGTGATACTGCCTTGGAAACCCAAGGAAGGGTCGCTATGAGTCAGGTCTGACTCAACGGCACATAACAACAACAACAGTTGTTTGGTAAAGTGTAAAATACCAGCCAGGAGCAATCCATATTGAGCTTGGAAACCAGGGCAGGTAGAACTTAAGAACAAAAGCTGTTGCAGTAAAGCAGAACATGGGTGAGATCATGAAGGTCTTCATACTGGGACCACCCAGAATGATGTAGACAAGGGGATGCCAGGCCTGGGTCTTGTTTCCCCACACACACCCTTCCTCTTCAGTGGTTAGAACCATTTCCATCCAATTCCTGTGCCAGGAACAGCCAGTATAACTTGAACTCTCCATATAGTAGCCTATGTTTGCTATCAGAAAAGGCTTAGCTCTATCTTTTGATAGAATAAAAGCTAAAACAATTTAATTAACAAAATAACACTCTTCTGTAAGACAAAGCTGCCACCCCAAGATTTGCCTTCTTCAGAGATTCCAAGGGAGCTACGGGATAGATAAAATCCTTTTTTTCCCCTGTGCTTATATACCTCTTTCCATTTATCCAAGGATATAATTCAGTTGCATATCAGTTGCCCCTCTGACAAGGAGGAAGAAAAGTCCACAAAGGATGTCTCTGAAAAGGAAGAAAAGGACAAAAATAAAGAAAAGATCCCAAAGAAGATGCTGTCCAGAGGTGAGGACTTCCCCACCTCATCTCTTCTAGCACCTGGCTCTGCAGTGCCTTCTCTGTCCTGAAACCTGGCACCCACTGACCTCACTGGCCCAAGAACTGGCTGCGTGGTTGCTTGGGAAGGTGGCTAACTAGGTTACTTTTTGTGTTTCTTCAACCAACCTTGCCTTAGAGGCTCACATACCACAGAGAACTACTCTATCTGCATGGCCTACTCAAAGGAGTTCATTTTAGTGAATTCCTGTTTTATCTGTGCTTCTGAAATAAACAGTGACATGGGTAATCACTGGTAGCAAATCTTCCAGATACCATTTATATTTTGGTTTTGGGATGCCTGGAGTGATTTTTTTTTTTTCAATAATACACATTTGCCTCTATTTATTAGGCTGTCTTTGGTTTTAAACTCTTGGCCTCAAAAGAAAAAGACACAGTCCATAAAAATGATAGTTGGCAGCAAAAAGGCAACCTTGGGATTAAAAAATTGAAGTGAATCATTCACAAAGTGAATGAGTCACCCATTAATAATCAACATTTGAGCATATTTGGTGAGATTCTGGAAAATTCAGCCCAGACTGCCTTTACCTGGAATTTATTTTCCTTTACTAAAATAAAGCCTACTATGTTTTGGTCAGGGCATTCCATCAATATTTGCTGGTTATAAGGTGGCTTTTTAGTGTAGAGCTGATGCAACATTGTGTCCCAGATGCCTCATTCTATCACAGTCATGGGGAACTTTAGGGGGCTGACAGATCAGAATCATTCGCATTTTTAATGCTACAACCCCTGATTTTTTATTCAACTTTGCTATTTTCCTATCTCCTAATCAAGCTGTAGGCTTCTGCTTGGAGTCAGATATGCAAGACAGTTTCATTTATTTTAAGTTTCTTTTGTTGTGGTGGTTCTAGACTCCAGCCAAGAGTATACGGACTCCACTGGAATAGACCTACATGAATTTCTTGTAAATACACTGAAAAAGAACCCAAGGTAATGATTTGATGGAAGGGAAAAAGGGGGCCAGGGGCCAGCAGGATATCCAAGAGGCTGAGCAGCTTCCCAGAGTTTTTCTATTATTAGAATCTAGGATGCCCATCCCTTACCACTATCTCTCTCTAATGTAGTTTTATTTTCTGTGAGGGATTCAAAATACTTTCAGATTGAGGTTTATGCTGTTAGAGGAGTTGAGGAAATGCTGTAGAAGAAGAAAACAGGGACAAAGAAATGAGAAGGCTTAGGAGTGTACTGTGATAAAAAGTACAAAAGAAAAAAGTAATTGATTTATACATAAATTATAATTGCTTAAAAATTAGATAAATAACAAGATAGAATAATTAAACTTATAAGAATGAATCTATTGAGTATACTTGGCAATTAGATTTCTGATGTGGAAAACACAGTGCATGATTAGGAAAGAACTGTAAAATATATACTTGGGCTGTGTTTTTCTTTTCCAAAACACTGTAAGACCGGCTAGTAAGACTTGAGTAGTCTTTGCATGACATTCAACTATTGGAGTTTTATTATATCCTTGCCTTCATCTTTTGTAGTAAGCAATTTGCATTTTCAATGTCTATGGAAGGGCTGCTTTTTGTTTTGTTTTGTTTTAATGTTTTTAAAACAGGGACAGAATGATGCTGCTAAAATTAGAACAGGAGATTCTGGACTTTATTAATGACAACAAGTAAGTTACTTATAAGAAATATACATTTAGTGGTGGGAAGGGGTCCTGGAAAGAAATTAGGTATAATATTAGGACATCTCTCCTTCCTCTTTCCCTTAAAATCTGAATTTTGAGGTAATTACTCACTGGGATCCAAAAGGAGTAGGGGAGAAGCAGTCATAAAGGGATAAAAAAAATTACTTGTGTGAAGAGCAAAGTGAAGTTTTAAGTTATTTGCATAAATTTGAGTTGAAAAGAAGTTACATCTTTCCAATGACTGGCCCTTGTCCACATTTCACTATTCTTAAATCTCTCCTTTTTTCTTTGTAGAACATCATCCAGGTGGGTGAGACTTAACTTCTTAAGGAGTATTCCTCATAAGGATAGTGGGTCATAGTGATCTGCAAAATGCTATAGATAAGAAGCTGAGGGGAGCCTTTTTGGTTCTCATTGAGTAAATATCTATCTTATAATGAAAAGACCTTGTTTGCTGGTCTGTTTACCTAAGAACTTCCCCGCTTTTAGACACTTAGAAGAAAAAGCACAACTGGCTATTATTGCTATTATTTGCCCTTATTTCATTTTTTGCCTCTGGATTTTCTTCAGTAACCAGTTCAAGAAGTTCCCTCAGATGACCTCATATCACCGGATGCTATTACACAGGGTAGCTGCCTATTTTGGGATGGACCACAATGTTGATCAAACTGGAAAAGCTGTCATCATCAACAAAACCAGTAACACAAGAATGTAAGGCTTTAGGAAGGTTTTCTTGGGATAACCTACTGGGGTGGAAGAAGAAGGTATAGGATCAAGATGTCTCTTCTGGGGAAGGGGTGCTGTGGAGAGCTGTATCATCAGTTCCCTTGTCAATAACTACTCCATTCAAAGCCTTGGGAACAGATTTTAAAGGTATTCTGTGAAGGCTGGCACCAGCTTCTCTTCACCTTCACTGATAGGAAAAGGAGCAAGACAAGGTACAGGTGTATAAAGAATAGCCTAAAGATTTCATTAAAACCTTCATGTGATGGGTATATGGATGGATAGATAGGTGGACAGGCTAAACGATTAGGTATGTCTATGAAATGAGGAATGTATCCCAGATCATATATAGGGTTGGCAGACAATGGTCCTATAAGTTTATGTGAATCATCAGAATTCCCAGGTGTATAGCAGAGCTGACAAGGAGCAAGGTTGTGGTCACTGCTTGGTCACAGCCAGCTACCCAGAGGGACCGAGTAGTTGAACCTGTGGGCTCGGGACCATAGTCACAGGGGACATCAAGCTCAATTGGCATAACATACTACACAAAACATTGTTCCACCTCCTACTTTGGTGAGTAGCGACTGTGATCTTAAAAGCTAGCAAGCTGCCATCTAGATGCGACGATGGGTCTCTCTTCGTCAAGAGCAAAGAAGAAAGAAGAAAACCAAAATTAATGGAAACAATTAGTCCTAGCAACTGGTACACCATCCGATCGGCAACCTATACAACTATGAGACCAGAAGAACTAGATGGTGCCCAGCTACCACTGTCATCCACTTGGAAGGGGATCTATGTGGGAGATCCTGGATAGAGAGGGAGAACAATATGGAACAAAACTCAAAGTCATTTGGAGGAAAAAAAAGAAGGTGGGGACCAGGTTTGCTGGTCCAATAGAGCCTGGTGGAACCACTGAGACTATGGTCCCTAGCTGCCCTTCAGGTCTGGAATTGAACCCACACCTGTGGTTTCCAGCCACACAAAGTACAGGCATGTCAGTTAAACATTTACCTCAAGTAGACACATGCCTTGGAGAGAACAATCATGGGAGAAGGAAGGGCTGCTTATGCACAGGGAGACAGCTCAGGGGGCAGGAGAGTATGGAGGGATGGTCACTGGGAAGAGGTAACTATGGGGAGGAAGTGGGAGGGGAGCTGTTGCATTGTGGTAAACTGTGGTCAATAACATGAGATAAAGTATATGTGAACTGCTGTATAGAAAGTGAATTTGCTCTGTAAATCTTCACCCAAATCACAATTAAAAAAAAAAAAAACCTTCATGTGACTTTTTAAATGCCCAACTCCAGAAACCTCCTGAGTAGTAAGTTGTGCAATATAAAAGAGCTATACTAGGAAGTCTGCTTCCTAACAAAAGGGTCTTTTTTTCTCTTTTTCTTCCACATTTCTGTCCCAATCCCAGTCCTGAACAGAGGTTCTCAGAACATATAAAGGATGAGAAGAATACAGAATTTCAACAGAGATTCATTCTCAAGAGAGATGATGCCAGTATGGACCGAGATGATAACCAGGTGAAGAGTGGAAAAGGGTGGGCCTGTTGTAGAGAGATTGCAGTAAGAGAAACTGGGAGGGGAGAAGAATTTTTGTGGGATAGAGAAAATACACATCTTAGTATGGAAAAATGTATTGAGCTGTATTGAGTTGAGAACTGACTACCCCTTTTGAGCTGAATGCCACCTTCTTAGCCCCAGAGAGACATGGTGCTGAGGTTTGCTGGGTTTTGTCATTTGGCTTAGAACTCCCTGCCTTTGCCACTGACTTTAACTCCGAGTCACTGTGGAACAAAGCAAGTCCCTACCAACTTCAGCCTTGATCCAGCTGATGATTTTGTGGTGGGTTTTTGTTTTTGTTTTTCTTTAATAGTTAGGGATTTCTTTGGGAATCACCAAAAGCTACTTTACCCCCCTTCCACTCTTAACCTAACTCAGGACTAGCCTTGAACTGGCAAAAGCTGTGATCCAATTTATCCACTTATAAAGGTGTATTCTGACTCCTTTCTGCAAACTCCTTAATCTTTTCCCAACTCCTTCCACCAAGGTGAGTGAGTTAATTTTACTTTTTGATGCTGGGAATCTCAGGCAATATCCCCTTTGTAATTCACTCCTATGGGAATAAGAAGTGAACAATCTGCCCTATCCCTTCATTTATCAGCCTGACAACCTCTGGTCACCCTTCAGATAGTTATTTGGGGGTTAGTTTTCCTAGCTAAATAGAAGGTTTAGATCCAGCCTGCTTCTGCTTGGCCTCCAGAGAGAATTAGGTAGAGAATAGGATTAAGGTTTTGAAGTGTGTGATTGGGTAGAGCCAAAATGATTCTTGCTAGATAATGATAATTATAGTAATATCTTACCTCTAGAGTCAAAATTAGCTTTCTTGGCATACTATATGGTCTTGAGACCAGGACTTTTCTTGCTGCTATTTGAATATTTGAGGGAGTCCTTTTGAGAAAAGTGCCATATATTGTGGACAAACACACTGGGTCTGATTGAAAACAAACATATAAAAATTTAAAAACCGAGAAAGAGCCTTTCCATCCTGATGCCCTTCTCTCCATTTTCCCAAAACCCTTTTTCTGTGGATCAGGAATTATTCAGGCCTAGATACACATTGCCATGGAGTGAATTCTGTCCCTAGTGTGAACTTTTCATCTCTCAGTTTCAGGCTTGACCCATGATAGGGTAGGCTCTATGTACTTTCTGTCTGTGGTATTAATGATAAACATAGTAATTGCTATTTTTATTGTCTTCTCTGAACTAGGCTTTGTTCTAAACATGTTACGTTATTGTTTCTTTTGGTCCTCTCTACAACCCACTGTAGGTGGGGGTTATTAGCCCCACTTTTACACATCAGAAATCTCAGTTTAGAAAACTGAGGCTAAGAGACACTAAGTTATTTGCCTGAAGTCACATCACAGGAAGATGTCAAAGCTGAGATTGTGCCTGACCTCAAAGCCCTTTATGATCTTTCTGTTCTGCCACTCTGCCACTGGTTTATGAGTACTAGGGGTTAAGGAAGATATAACTCCTCAAGGCCCTGTGTCTTCTTGAAATGGGAATTGTAAAGAACATTTAGTAGATTTAGTAAATTTAGGTTCTTGAGGCTAGTGAGAACTAATTCTAGTCAGAGTCGATACTCCTTAAGTTATGGCTGTCTCCAGAGATGGGTGAAGACCAGCCTAGAGCAGCAGTCTCCTTCCGATTGCTTCATCTGAAGCTTTCAGAGCCTCTGGGTTAAAGATCAGACTCTCTTATGACCTGATGACATTCATTCATGTCATCACCCTCAGAGCTCCTTATCTTCAAGAGCAGTATGGTAAAGGACACTCATGTAACACTCTGCAGGACAGTGTTTACAAATCATAGGCCCAGAGAAGAAAAGACAGTGATGGAGAGTTGGCTGGTAGGCTAGCCAGAGGTGGAGAAATGGTCTGTCCAGCTACCCCTACTAGTCACCACACTGCATTTTTCAGAGAATGTAACGTTCTCTGTCCTCCATTTCCTTTTTTTGTCTCTCCCCTCCCTCCACTGTACCTTCTTTGTCTGGTCCTTTCTCTGTCTATCCTTTCTGTTCTAGTCTCCTTTTCTTTTCCTTTCTCTATTTTTGTTGCTCTGTTCTTCCTTCATCCCTATTTCTGTAATTCCTCTCTCTGTGTCCTTTCCTCCAGTGGCAAACTTAAGACGAGACGAATTGTTTAGACTTTGAGTTTAGCTTCGCCCTTGGGATTTCATTTCCAAGGCCCTCTTCACTGAACTGTGTGTGACTTGAATCTTCAAGGCATGACATTAGTGACTAAAGTAAGGATAGTATCGGGTGCTAGTTCTGTAAACCTCCTCATCTACAGCCAGCTCTGCTAAACACCTACCTGTTCCTTCTCCCTGTCTGGCTTCCTTCTATCCTTTGCTTTCCCTTTAAAGCAATGTTGTTTATTTTCCCAGGGCTATTTTCTTGATCCTTACTGACTAGAGAGTACCTGATTACCACAGGAAAGCAAACCAGTCCTTGTGAATAGTGGTTGTTCTTGATACTCTGGGGGGGCGGGGAGATGGAAAGCCCCCAACTATCCAGAAAACCTGATCTCTGAAACTGCATGGTCAGATGTACCCAGTGAAACCTGTCCAGGACTGGAAATTTTATTTCTTTCTCCCCTCCCCCCCTATTTTTTTATGGCAACTATAAACTCTCCCGGTTTCTCTTCCTTGCTGGTGTGCAGTGAGCTTGCAGTACGAGGAGAACTTAACTAGCTTAATTCTGCTCATCGATCTAGATCAGAGTTCCATTGCAGGATGGAAGGAGGAGCAAGTCAATAGAAGAGAGAGAGGAGGAATATCAAAGGGTCCGAGAGAGAATATTTGCCCGAGAGGTAAGTGTAGCTTCCGAGAGTTGTCAGCCCATAGCTTTTAGCTCTTAATCTTTGGAACTGTGAATGGAATGAACCCTCCATAAATGTTTTCTTGTTTTGTTCTGTTTTGAAATAACCAACATCAGCCAGCCCCAGATTTATTCTCTAAAATTAAAAGTGGTATATTGGGAAGCTGCAGAATTTTTATTTGTACATTTTGTAATTTGTGCATACATCATACAAAGGGAACTAAAACTTGGAGTGGCTGAATTTGGTAGATATGACTAGATTGAACATAGAAATTACTTTGGCAGGGCTTATGGAAGGGCCCTGAATCTGATCTGCCAAGCCCTCTTCCTGCTTGCCCTCTTCCACTCTTACTGTCTATTTTAGGCATCTTTGCTTCTGAGTGGAAGACTTAGTGTCCACATAGCCTATACATTCATCTTATCTGGCCAGCTGCATATTTAGGATGTGTTGGTAAATTTTAGAGCACAGGTCTGACATCCATCCTCTGTGAGCTCCATACTCCACATGCATAGAGGGTACCACTATTTCCTCTAGTCCCTTCCTAAACAGGAAGTCTCTTCTCTGTATTTCTTACTTTGCCTCTTTAGGACAGGAGTGACTCTGTGGGCCAGAAGGCAACTTGAATCATTTCAGGCAACTTTATTCTTAAGAGTTGTTGGCTGTATACTTGGTACAAGATATACTCGGTACTCCTGTATCTGGTTGCCTTTGCCTTCCAGGGTGAAGATTTCTATAGCAGAAGTTCAGGGAATGGTGTTGGTAGGCAAGGAAGGAACAAATCTCTAGAAAATGTAGGATCCAGATAGCAGTACCATCTCATAGTCTGATGAGCAGCACAGGAGGAAGAGCCAACCCCCTTCATTATCAAAAGATGTCCAGTTTTATTCAATATACTTAAGTGGCTATGGCTTTCCTCCCATTCCCCACTCTCCTCTCCCCCAGCAAGACCCAAAAAGTAAATAAATAAATTACATGTCTATATTTTTTCATCATCACTTAGCTCAAAAAACTATTGTTTCCCATTTCATGAAAACTAAACTCTCCTATGAACTTGTTCCATTGGCTCAGGAAATCCAGGTCCTTCCAAGAATCTGCACTAGGGACAGCTACACAACAAGCCTTCTGGCCCAAAGTCCAAAGAGAAGGAATCTTCTTACCTTCTTTTAATACATATTTCATCTGAGTCAGACAAATCCTTCTTCTAATGAGCCAACCAGTAACCTTACGAGGGTTTTGTATCTCTACTTACAAACCAGTTGGGTGGAATGAGAGAAGAGATGTCATTTGTATACAGTTGAACCCTGGTGGCACAGTGGTTAAAGCATTGACTGCTATCCAAAAGGTCAGCAGTTTAAGCCCACCAGCCTCTCTGTGGAAGAATGATGAGGCATTCTGCTTCCGTAAAGATTTACAGCCTTGGAAACTCTATGGGAGCAGTTCTTCTCCCTCCTGTAGGGTCATTGTGAGTGGAAATTGACTCGATGGCACTGGATTTGTTTTGGTTTGGTAATGATGCTAAATTGTAGACAGAGCAGGTTGTGGATAATAATTGCAAACATATATACATACACACACACATGTGTATGTGTGTGAGTATGTGTATATATATATATATATATATAGTGCTTACTATCTTTGAGGCACTATTCTAAGCACTTTATGTACATTAACTCATTTAATTCTCACACCAGGCCTGTGAGGTAGGTTTCCTTATTTTTCCCATTTCATAGATAAGGAACTGAGGCACAGAAAGGTTAAGGTATAACCTAAGGTCTTACTGCTAGTTAGCAGAAGAGCTGGTATTTGATTTCAAGCAGTCTGGCTCCAGAGTCTGTGCTCTTAACCCCTAAACTTAACTAAACCACTTCTCAATAGCTTGCTCTGCTCTAGGATCTTTAAATTAAGAAATATCAGTGACATCATAGCCTAGCTGATTATCTGTGATATGGTCTGTGCTCTTCTGAATCACTGACACATGGCCATTATACCAGCCATTATTAAAGCCATGGATGTTCTGAAAGCATAGACAACTTTAAGTAGGGGAATGGGGCTGTTTATCAACAATACTGGAATGGATCAAACTAAAATCATAAGAAAGACAAAGTTATCTCTTCTCTCCTTTTTTCTCCTGATTTCTAGCCTTATCAAGCCTCTACTTACATATGTTTTCTTTGTTAAATCTTTGTAGATTTATCACTTTCCTTTCAGTGCTTCTGACTCTTGCCATGGTAGAGGCATCAGGAATCTCAGAAGGTCTAGACAATGAAAAATGGCCAAAGCCCACTGTACTCCAAAGATTCCCACATAGAGGGGAGCCTGGCCAGCCAAAGGGAGCTGATTAAGAGTGAAGTTGTAGGTGCTGGAGGAGCAGGAGGCAGGCCAAAGAGAAAGAGAAGTGGCAAGAAGGGTGTTTGGATGGAAATGCTGCTGCTGCAGCCTTCTCTGCAACCTGAGCTGTGTGCTGGAAAGCTGCCCAACACAGGCTCTGCTCCAGGCGGAGCCTACTCTGCTCAGCAGGTGGACACTCTTGGTACTTTTTCCTAAGGGTTGGGAGTCCACCATGATGCTCACTTCATTCAGCTCAGTGGCTTTGTCAGGAAATGATTCCCAAAGGGAATGTTTCAGACTCTTAATTTCTCCTTTTTCTAGCCTCCTATCCATTTCCTACCCTCTTTGGGTCCCAGGTGTGAATGTTTTTCATTTTGACCAGTGTAGAAGGCAGAATGGAATAGCCATTGAAGATGATTTCCAAAAAACTAAGTTTCTTTCTCTTGTGTCCCTTTTCCCTTCCTGTGAAGACACTCTTTAGGACCAAGAACATCGATTGTTTTCCTCAGCTTACCATTAGAGAGAATAAATATAAGATGAAAAAGGAAGTAATAGTTAGGTTAATACTTTTCCTTTTCCCCCTTTCCATACTCCTTCCTACCTTTACCAGCCTCTGTTTTTGAACACTCTGTGGAAGGGCTGAAAGTGCCCAATATTCTTCCGCATTAAAGATGAGAAGTCAGATTGGGTATAAGGGTGTGGGCTGCCCTGTCCCTGCTCCCTCTCTCCCTGTTAGTGGGGTGAGCTTTGGTTTGAGGACATTGGGTGTTCATAGCATCATGGAACCCTTTTTGGTTATGCCATGCTGTTTTCTTATAAGTTATTTTCCGTTTTCTCCCCCTCACCTAGACTGGACAGAACGGATATCTAAATGACATCAGGTTAGTACCACCTAGCATGTTCCCTGCTTTTCATTGAGCTTTCGTCAGTGAGGTTAATATAATCCTGTAATGATGCTTTTCTTTGATGTTAACCAACAGACTCTCCAAAGAAGCCTTTTCTTCTAGTTCTCACAAAAGAAGGCAGATTTTTAGGTACCTCTGTGTGATCTACATCTCTCCTTTTTTTTTTTTAACTTTCATTTTGTTTTGCTATAATCTTTTCAGTGGAGTTAGTTTGCTCCATGCATGGCTGCTTGTGGAATAAATCAACTTGTGGTTTTTGCAACATTGGATTTTTTTTCCCCCCATTAAAAAAATCGACTCCTCTTCAGTGACTTTTTTGTTTAATTCCATTTTGAGTCCTAGATAGGTGGTGAAGAGGATCTAATAGGTGTGTCTGGGATTGGTCCTGCTGCCTCCCAGAAGTTTGGTAGAACTGGGCTTTGTTGAAGGACTTGAACATACATTAAGGTCATAGAATGGGTGTCTTCTGGCTGCCTTTTCTGAATGTGTGAAAAGCTGTGGGGAGTTTGTCCTTGTCCCATCATACTGAATGTTTTGTACCTTCATGAAGGAATAATATAGACACACATATAAATACACATATAAACATCTGTCTATGGATAGTTTTCTGTTTGAGAAAATGTATGAGCAAGATGACCTCAGAAGAGACTTTTCTACCTTAGAATGGGCTTAGAGCATGTTCTTGATGTGATTGTCCATAATTCCTTGCTCTTAGTGTTGGCAAAAACTGCTGTATTAACTTCCCCAGTGCCTCATATTCTTAATTTTCCAATTGATGACACTTGATAACACTGTCCCTTTCATATTAATCTCTCAGTCCCACCCCAGAGGATTACACAAGGCATTGATGAGAGCCACCAGCTCACTTTAAATATATTTAAATATATTCTTCCCATTTCTGTTGTACCAACAGAAATCAGTAAAGAGAACTTAAGTATTTAACACTAGGATTCATGTCTCCCCCTTTCCAAAGGGTTTCTCTCTTTTTGAATCTTGAGCTAGAAAGGGATTGACTAATTGAGATTAGACAGATATCTCATTCCCATCTTTTAGTTGTCCTTTCCAAGTTCAGTCAAACCATATGGGAAGTGATTCTTGAGATGGAGAGTTTGTTTCTCTTTCCATAGCTCTGAACTCTTTTTTTCCTAGACCATCCCTCATTGAGGCCTATATAAAAACCCTAAGGAGAGAGGGCTTCACAGTGTTCATCATAGTAAGGGATGCACTCCCTCACCATTTTGTTTCATTTTTACTTTTTTTAATTCTTGTTCATATCCTACACTTTAGGGTCATGGATCATTCCAGAATAACTTTAATAAACAGAAATTTTAAAGAGTTCTATGGACTCTGTGTATGACTTAATGCACAGTGCTTTAGCAGTTGTCAAAGTATACTTTATCTAATTCAGTGCCTTACATGCTAGTTTGATAACTCTAGGAAACCAGAAGCAGAAAGATTAAGTGGCTAGCCCAAGTTTACATAGCTATTAGTGGCAAAACTGGGACTGACTCCTTGTCCAGTGTTCTTCTCACTACACCACTCCACTTCTCTGCAACATCACTCCTTCCTCTCTGAGTAGTGTTCTACTGGGAGCCCTAATTAGCGTTTATTGCTAAGAAAAATGCTCTTATGAGTGCCATGGAGCATCAAACTACATCAAACTGTGCAGATAATAGCTCTAAGGATCTGGTTGTGCAGGTACAACTCTCTCCTCTCCGGACCTCCTTTTAAGCTGTTGCTTTTCATACTAAGCTTTGATTAAAGATGTAGATCATCCAAAATGCAGCTTCATGTACTCTTAAGAGGGTAACTTCTTCCCCTATTTGAGTACTAGGGCACTTCAGTGATTAGAAGCTGATCTTCTCTAACTACTTTATATGTTTATTCCCAAATCTTTGTTTGTGAAATGCCAATATACCAAATACCATTATCCAGATTGGCAGTAACTATGGTAACTTCCCAATACTTTGGAAGATTCTACTCCATTGTTAAATACGCCACAGTGAGGTTTACTGATATTGCCACCTCTTCCACAGGCCTCGTACCCACTCCCCAGGCCCAACAAACTAGACTTTTCACTAGCACTAAATGTCCTTGATAAAATTAAATCAGCTCTACTTTTACAGGAGGATGAGGTGTGAACAATGCTTTCTGCCTTTTATCCTCATCTCACCAACACAAACACACACACCACCAAAACCAATCTGGTACTCAGAATTGGGTTGAGTTGTTTTTTCTAGTTGCCTTATTTTTAGTAAAGTGGAAATAAATCATTAGAGATTAGGTTTTGTAGAGAAGGAAAACTAATCTCTTTCCTGGCCAAGACACACCCTATTTTCTCAAACCCTCATGGATGTAATGCACTAGTCCATGTTGGTCAGAAGATCATCGCACAGTCCACAGTTTGAGTCTTAGGAGAATGCATGAATACAGATGTGCTGCCACTTTGGCCCAAGCTTTTCTAGGGTGCTTGGTTTAAAGTTGCCCCATTCACTGTCTACCTGTAGTAGAAAGAGAAAGTAAATGACAGGATTGCTGTAACAATGTTACAGCAGCAGTGTTTGATTTAGGTAGAAAAGTTCATTATGACTTGTCTTGCAGAAATTAAGCTCTGATGTCTGAAATTCAGAGCAGCTTCATCCATTGCCACTACTGTATCCCTTTCCCCCACAAGCATATACTTCTTTACTAAGTCCTCAGTAGACTTGCCTTTGCCCATTGAGGCAAAGAGCTGTTGGATCTCATTTCAAGTCTGGTTCTATTCCTGGAGATCTCCTGATTTATACGTCTTTCTTGTTTCCCATTCTAGTTTTGACATCCTCAAGAGAAAGGAATAAACTTTTGAGTAAACAGGAATGTTTCCCAGTCCTTAGTTCTAACTATGTGGAGAGAAGCACTGAGGTTTTATATAAATATGGCATAGTGCCTAAGGCATTTGACTGCTTAACCAGAAGGCTAGCAGTTCAAACCCACCAGCCGCTCCTGGGGAGGAAGATTGGGCAATCTACTTCCATAGTGATACCACCTCGGAAACCCAAGGAGGGGTCGCTATGAGTTGGATCCGACTCGATGGCAGTGACTTTGGTTTGGCTTTTGATTAACCAGCTGTGCCAGTGTGTTCTTAGCTTACCATGGTTGGCTTGGCTAAAAGCTTGAATAGTTGACCCTAGCATGTATTTTGCCTAGTTTCCCTACAATGCCTTTGGAGCAGGTGGGAATAATACCTTGCTTTTTTAGAATAACTGAGCCTAGTGTGGAGCTAAGGGAATTGGGTTGAGGTTTCCTGTTTGTTTTTGGTGGGATGGTGGTGAAAAGAACGGAGCCCAAGTTACTGTGGTTTTTGCTTAATTGGCTCCAAGTATACATACCAAAACCTTGTGATTCCCATTTGATTTCCTTAGGTCATTGGGGGAGGCTGAGGATGCCTGGTTCTTGGTTGCTTATTGATTGAGAAGCTGTAAGAGCTTAACAAGATTGAGGGTTTTCAGGTCGACCCAGGCTATCTTGAGGAGTACAGCAGTTTTTAATCATAGGCAGTGATTATACCATCAGGATAACTCTGATGTTTCCATAGTAGAACAAGAGAAGAAGAATCCCTTTTCTCAGCAGCCTTGTGCACTTGCCTGGGCCAGTGGAGGTATAAATATGGGAGCATCTATGCACAGTGCCCCACTTCTTGCCATCCTGGATCCCAAGGGCTTTTTTGCTTGATCTTGCTGAGGACTCTGGTCCTTAGAGAACCTAGAACAAGTTGTTCCCAGATACCAAAATGGAACTTCCACAAAACAGTTCCCTACTGTCAGACTGAATTTTCCCAAGTACCCTTTTAGGCCACTGTACTCCTCATCCCACCCCTGGAAAGATGTCTATAAGCAGCACCTCTTCTTGTTTAGACATGTGTTATGTGGAAGACCTATTCTGTGATTTATCTGTGTCATTGACTACCCCTGCCTTCTAGCAGTAGTACCTATTAGGAGTCCTTTTATTTTAAGAACTCCTGGAAGGAACTTGTACCCCTCTGCTCCCCATTATTTCCTGCATGTATGGGATCCCCACAGGAGCTGGGGAAGAGACCACAGCCAATCTCAGCATCATGTATGTGGTTCCTGTCCACCTCTGGTCTGATGTACTGAATTAGCTGCCAGTGCACTGTCTTCCAGATTTGCCTCTGTGCTCTTTGTGGCTGTACTGGATCTTGTTCTGTCTGCTCCCATCAAGTCTCAGTTGGGCAGCCAACTAACAAGAAGTCAGTGTCCATCCTTCCTGCACCCTCACACCTTCTTTGTTATAGAAATGAACTCTCTCCTAGCCCTTCTGCTGAAGTGGTGGGTGGGGGGGGGTGTTCTGACCACTGTGGTCTCTGCAGGGGGAACCGAGAAGGGCTGAGCCACACTTCAAGCAGCCGCCAGAGCAGCACAGACAGTGAACTTAAATCCTTGGAGCCACGACCCTGGAGCAGCACAGACTCTGATGGCTCTGTCCGGAGCATGCGGCCCCCTGTCACCAAAGCCAGCAGCTTCAGTGGAATCTCTATCCTCACCCGGGGTGACAGCATCGGGAGCAGTAAAGGTGGCAGTGCAGGAAGGATCTCCAGGCCAGGTACAGTCTCTCTCCTTCCATGTCATGCCTATCCTTTCTTGCTTGTCTTCTGAGAAACATCACCGATACTTAGTCTAACAAAACACTTGTCTCAGTATAATTTCCTGGAAATCTAACACAGCTAAGTAAGGAGAAGTTTGATTTCTTGGAGCCATCATCCTTTTTTGGTTTGTTTGTTTTATGACGTTGATTGCAATCACCACAGTGTGCCGGCACTCTTCCCACTTCCTCCCTGTGTTTCTTGTTTCCATTTGTCCTCCTGTGCCTTTCTGCCTTCTGAGCTTTGTTTCTAACCAAATGCTGCCCTTTTGATCTCATCATTCTAAGGAGTGGTTACCTCCCTGCTGTTACTGTTCACTTTATAAGGTGTCTGTTGTTTGGCTGAAAGTTGAGCCACAGAGTGAGTTCTGTTCCAGGCTGAAGGGTATCTAAGAGCCATGGGCTCAGAGGTTTCACCAGTCTCTATACCAGTAAGCCTGGTCTTTTTCATTATTTCGAGTTTTGCTCTAAATTTTTCTCCCACTCTATTCAGGACCTCCTATTGGGCAGCTCTTTCAGAGCTGTCAGCATGGTAGCCAGTCACCCTCTAATTCTTCTGGTCTCAGGGTCATGGAGGCTGGAGTTCACATGGTCTTTTAGTCCTTTACGTTAATTGTTTGCTGGTGTCTTTGATTTTCTTCACTCTTCTTTGCTCTGGATGGGGAGCAAAGATAGTTACACCTTAGTAAGTCATCATCCTTTTGAGTTCTCTCTCTGATTTCCTTTCAGATCTTCTCTCCTGATTCAGAAAAACTGATTGGGGCTAGATTATTCTGCCTGATTTCTGACCGAAGTCCAGGTCCAGATTACACACTGATATGAAAATGATAGCTGCTTTCATCTTGTGGCCTTCCAAGACTCTAAAGTGGGTTTGTGGAGCAGAGGAAGCCTTTGGAGTTTAGCTATTTGTAATTAATTAGTAGTAGTCAATAGACTAGAACATCAGATATTATACTATTACATATACAACCCTGCAGTAACAGTAATAACAAACAATAATTTATAAATGGATACATAGGTAGATATGTAAGCTGAAAAGGTATAGGATGGTATATAGGAGTATGCCCATGAGCATGTATCAGTTTGGCAGAGATACTTCTACATACGTATTTATATGGGCTGCAAATATATCCGGGTATATAGTAGAGCATACAGAAGTTATGCGAACTTCTTAGCCATAACCAAACACCTTGAAGGACTGAGTCAGTGGGCTTGAGTGTTTAGGACCAGAGTCTAGGGGGACATCTAGGTCAACTGGCATAGCATAGTCCATAAAGACATGTTCTACATCCTACTTTGATAAGTAGCAAGTGGGGTGTTAAAGGCTTAATAAGCAACCATCTAAGATACGGCTATTGTTCTCTTCTTTGAAGAAAAGAAGAAAATCAAAGACTCAAGGAAACAGTTAGTCCAAAAACTAATGGACCACACAAACCAGTCTCCACTAGCCTGAGACCAGAAGAACTAGAGAGTACCCAGCTGCCACTACCTACCACTCTGATCAGGGTCACAACAGAAAGTCCTGGACAAGAGTGGGAGAAAAATGTAGAGAAAAATTCAAAATTACAAAAAAAGACAAGACTTACTAGTCTGATAGAGACTACTGAAACCCCAGAGACTACAGCCCTAGGGCACTCTTCAAACCTAGAATTAAACCCAGTCATGGAGATCAACTTTCAGGTAAACAATAGTCAGGCCTGGAAAGTGAACAGTAACACCCATGAGGAACATGTTCATAGCAATCAACCACACAAGACCAAAGGGCAGCACCTGCCCAAAAACAAAAGTTCAGAAGACGAGAAGGGTCAGGAAAGATGGGGGAATGGAAGTAGGGAACTCAGGGAGGAAGCAGGAAGTCTGCTATTACACTGAGGAGATTGCAACTAATGTCAAGAAAAATAATGGGTATAAATCGTTGAATAGAAACTAATTTGCTCTTTAAACTCTCACCCAAACCACAGTAAAGTGTTCTAAAAAAGAGAAAGAGAGAGATGCTGCTGTGACCACTCTTAGGACCATGGCCAGTCACTGGGAAGGAGCAGACGTTCTCATACATTCCACATGCAAGGCCTGTGACCACCCTTTTACTCTCTACACCCAGTGGGCTTCTGTTTCACCACTCTGAAAAAATGGCTTGAATCTCATTCCAGAAGTTCTGTGAGTCTTGTCCGTAGTAGATACCAAGAGTTGTGAAGATGTTGCCTCAAACTGTTAGATCTCTGCTGCCCTTCTCTGTTACCCCTTTCTATTCCCACTGTTTCTGCCTTTGTCCAGGCCTTTACCTTTCATTTATCACACTAGCCCTCAAGCTGATTTCCTGGCTCCATTTTCAGCCCCTTTGAGAACTGTTTTATCAGTCTAAAACAGATCTAATCACATCAGTCCCACCTTTAAAATTGCAGAATTTAAAAATAGAGAATTCATGATTCTTAATTGCCTGTATGATAAAAATCCAAACTACTTAATATAGCATGGCCTCCCCTCCTGACTCCAGTTTGCCATCTTAGTGTTATTTCCAGATACCCATCCATCCTTCTCAGGCTGTCTATCCATTTCTTGAATCTGGAATTAACTTTATTCCCCCTCAACTTGACAACTTTCTGTTTATCCATTAAGCCCTTCTCTTCTCCTCCTCTTTAAATCCTTGCTGACCCTCCTGATAGTTCATTCTTCCCTCATCTTTGCTTTCATAAAACTTTGTTCATATTGCTCATGTATCCCATATCCTTATCAGTTTGTAATAGCTGTGTGGCTGTCTCTCAAGGACTTGTGTTCCCTTCACAATGCCTGGCACATAGTCGACATTCAGTATGTATGTGAATGCATACATGCCTTGGAGAATCTGGAAATGGGAAAAATAGGGGGTGAAAGTGGTATGTGCACATGCATATGCTTGGAGAGACAGGGTTGTCTTCTTAGCAATTTTCATGAGAGATGCTACAAGTAGAGAAAACAGGTCCCTTAAGGGTTCAGGAATCTGGTCCTTCTCAGGAAGTAAGCAATCATATTTTAACTTTCTAATCATGATGGGCAGATTCTAGGCACTTCAGGGGAGGTGCCTCAGCAGCCTTATGTTTTGTTCAGTTCCAAAACCAAACTCTTGACAGTCAAGGTAGTTACTACCTTTGCAGAGTGAAAGCCTGCTGTGAGGTGAGGATTCTCATCAGCAGGGAAGCGGAAAGGCATCTATGCTCATCCTGACGGTGGGGTAGTGGACAGCAGGAGAGTGAAAAGAAAGAACAGTGGAAGAGTAGAGCCTTAGAGCTGGGCCCTCAGGGCTAGAATGCTCATGGCTTTGTTTATAACTCTTAATGGGTCTCCTGTTTGCCTTAGGTTTGGCGCTAGGTGCCCCAGAAGTGTGCAACCAGGTCACCTCATCCCAGACTATCCGGGGCCTTCTTCCGTGTACTGCCCAGCAGCAGCAGCAGCAACAGCAGCAGCTTCCTGCTCTCCCGCCCACGCCTCAGCAGCAGCCCCCCTTGAATAATCACATGATCTCACAGGTGAGTCACCACTCAGTGTCAGAGCCCCTCTAGCCTGATTCAGACAAGCTCTGGAAGTACCATCACATCTGTTGTGCTGTGGGTGGCAGGAAGGATCAGGTTTTGGAGACATGGCACTCTCTCCCCCATCCCTTATTTGTTAATTTGGGAAAAGAAGAGTAAGGGCAAAGATTTGGTCAAAGTGCTCTCAGTAGAGTCAGCCTAGGAACTTCTTGCTTTATATTTCTTCTTCTTCATCCTTAGAAATGTTAGTGGGGTCTTTTACCTGACCCCACATTTCTGCTGCACCTCATCTCCCTCTATACCCTGTATAATTAGCAAGGAGGTTTTGTTCACTGTATCCATATATGGAGCTTGAGAAGATCACAGCTCCCTCCACAGTCTGACTGAACATGTTTATGTGTCTGATGGCACATAAATACATGTTTATGTGTTATGGTCTGGAGCAAAAAGGAATGAAAAAACACTCATTCAAGACCCCTGCCATGCATATACCACAGGGCACAAAGACCCCAAATGTCTTTGTTTCCCATGCCATAAAAAGCTTATATCATTCTGAAATTATTTTCTATGTGTTGAAGGATTGAGCAAATGAGTAAATATTTTGAGGATGTTGAGAACCAGGTTTCTCACTGTCAGAAAGTGAAATACAAATACGGAACTGGAGTAGGCTAGGAAGAATTCTGCGTTGTTGGATTAAAATTGGATATGGTATGAATTTGTGAGGAGCTCTGGTAGCATAGTGCCTAAGGCACTTGACTGCTCACCAGAAGGCTGGCGGTTCAAACCCACCAGCCACTCCTCGGAAGGAAGGTTGAGCAATCCTACTTCCATAGTGATACTGCCTTGGAAACCCAAGGAGGGGTC